AGAATAGGGTTTGGGGTATATTACACGATGATTATAATAAGGAACCCCCCATTAGGGTCTAAGGTCCATGAGAGTGCAGAGTTTTTTTTTCGGATTTTTAGGGTTTAGGGCTATACGGTTCAGGGTCAGAGTTGTCCTTGGTCCTTGGGATCGTTTGTGGGGGTGTAGGGCGTAGGGTTAGAAGAAAATAGGCCAATTTAGGCTTTGGGGTTGAGGGTGTAAGTATCATCCTTAGTATTTGTGACGCGTTTTTTGTTGTGAGTGTTCTCTGAGGCTTGTGTACGAATATCATGGCGGCTCAGGACTGAGGCTTGAGGAGAACAGGCGTGCGCAGTTTTACGAACTTTGGCACATCTTGAGATGCTTCCTGAGTTCCGTGTTGTGAAAGGTGCACCCTTGGATGCAGAGCCTGCTTGCCTCTCAGCCGCTGCGCCGCTATGATCCTGACTTCTGCAGATTACTAAGCCCGTAACCGCGTAACCCTTCACCTGGGTATTTGTGGAATACCAACCATCATGCACCATGCTGCAGGTCCTCAGCTACAACCTCCTGGCACCAGCGTTTGTCCGACCTATTGACCTGCGAACTGGGGCTGTGCAGCCTTTCGCGGCCTTCGAGTGGGCTTCAGCAGAGGACCTCGAGTGGGAGCTGCGGAGGAAGCGACTGCTCAAACAGCTGGAAAGCTGGCATGCTGATGTGGTTTGCCTTCAGGAAGTCCAGTTTGAGGCTTCGCCGGATGGCTCCTTCGCATTGCCAGCGTGGCTGACGGGGCTTGAGAACTACACCGCATGTATCCCGGCGGAGAAGTACCTGACGCTCATCGCGGAGCGGAATGAGCGGGTCCTGGCAAACAAGGTTGCCATTGGCTGCGCAGTTCTCTTCCGGAGCGACCGCTTGATGCAGCCCTCCGACGTGGAGAGCTCAGGCGGAGACCCAAACACCCTGGTCTCGGCATGCTTACAGGGTTTCCCGGAGTCACCTTTGGCAGCACTGGGGAAGACGGCCTTCTTCTCCGTCCACTTGGATGCCCAGAGCGAGGAGAAGAGGGTTGATCAGCTTCGCAAGTGCCTGGAAAAAGCACGGGCTCTGGGTACTCGGCAGGTGCTCTTCGCCGGCGACCTTAACACCGAGTGCCGTCCCGGCTCCTGCATCGCAGCCTTCATCTCAGACGAACCCCCCCCGGAGGAGGAGGTGGCCCGTGAGTGCGCATCGGCCTTGCGCATCGGCAGCGAGGACGGCGACGACGAGACCCCAGCTGACAGCAAGGAGACGGCAGGCGAAAACGGGGAGCCCTCTCCAGAGCAACTGGAGCAGTGGCGGCTGCTCTGGCAGAAGGCAGCGAAGTCTCCGGCTGAACACCGCGTCAATCTATCGCGTGTGCCCACCGGGACTACACGCTCGGCCTATGACCACGGGAAAACCGAGGGTCCGTGCGTCACCTGGAAACTCGCGCTTCGGAATGCAATGGGAGCACGTTCTTGCTTTGGTGATACTTCCGCTTGGGCAGATACCATTGATATAATTCCATACAAGTGTAATCTACTGCTGAAGCCCACAAGTCGGACCTGCTACTACCGCGCGTGGGCATGTTGTCTAAACTAATTATTTTGCCATTGTTCATTTTAAAAGCAAGATCATGGCACCTGAGCAGAACATAGATGCCTCGATAGATCCTTTTGACTTGTTTGTACTCACGGCAAGTAGAACAGTGCTAGATCATACCCCAAAGCAATCTGACTTTGCCCATCAGAGCCGCGCATTAGAGCATGAGGAGACAGGACAAGTAGAGCAGCACCTGACGTGACTACAGTTGTATATGGCAGCTGTTTATACTCCTCAAGCTCAAGTATGGCCGGCCTACATAGACCTACTCACAAAGCTTCAGCCGTTCCTTTAAAAGGAACTCAGAACAGAAAAGCCGACTGACTGAGAACCCGACGAGGATCACATCTTGCACAGCCCCGAGACGCTCCAGCTCCGACAACTCTGGACAACCTTGGAGGCCAACGGAGGGTTTAGTGCCCCAAACCCTGCAGGCACCCTAAAGTAGGGCTTCGGGTTTCGGTTTCCCTTGGACCTTGGATGAAGGTTGCCAGAGGACGATCCAGCAACCTCTGGAGGGGAAGTGTCCAAGTGAGACTTCAGGAACTCGCAAGAAGATCATGAAGAGGCTTCTCAAGAATCCCAAAATCCCAAGTAACCACACCGAGAGCCAGACACAGCCTGTGATTCAGCAGCGCAGGAGGATGAGGCGGCCTCTGCCAGCGGCTTGCCGAACCGGGAGAACCCCAGCGACCACCTTCCTGTTGCTGCCGTATTCCAGGCCTCACATGATCTGAAATAGATGGAAGTGTGACTTCTTCCTGGAAGAGAGCAGGACAGATCGGAATAAGTGAATCGAATCTCATGTAGAGCGGCTGCTTCAGGAACCATGTGCTTGAATTTAAAAAGCCCTCACCGGACTTCAGAGCGCTGCCAGGGTAGGATGCAGAATAGCAAGGTCGTCACTCCCAGTAAAAGCCAGAAGACCTATCACACGAAGTGGTAGAGTCTATGCCTTGAAGTGCCCCTGAACCCCACTGTTGGGTCCAGGTTTCGGGCATATCGAGGCTGACTATTAGAGGTATGTGACGCTGCTTGGGAGAAGCCCGCATCCTTTACCTTGCGGTACCGATCTGCAGCTTCGATTTTTGTAGCGCGTCAACCTGCAAAAAGGACCTAGAACCGAACCTCGAGTCCTGAAAACCTCAGAACGTTTGGACTTGCCTGGGCTTGCGAGATGCCCGTCGATCTTGAGGTTCCTAGCTCGATATCGAGGGTCTACGATAGAGTAGAAACATTCATGTGTTTGCACAATTAAAGACAAGACTAGAGTCATCGCCACTGCCACCACAATCATCCCGAACCGTCAAAACCTAAACGCGCACGCACGCGCACACGCACGCGCATGCAGACGCATGCAAGCACGCATGCATGCACGCACCAACACAAACAAACAAACAAAAACAAACAAACACACACACACACTGACTGACTGACTGTGCGTGATATTTCCCAGGCCCCTGTTTCTTCCTACCCAAGATGGGCTTGTCGTGACCATGCGCAGGTGTCTCCACCACCTGCACTGGACGAAGCTGCGAGGCTCCGACTCTCCCAGCACTTTGCCTCGACATGCGGATGCCTTTGGAGTCGATAAGTCAGCACTCTTGTTCAAAAGATAATCCCCACAATGTAAGGGTCCACGTAGGCACGCCACTTCAGAAAAGCCAAACTACCCAACACCTGCATAGATACATGGGGATTCAGCTGCCGATCCGGTTCGGATCGAAGCTACCAGATGAGGAAGGACATCATAGAGTCAGTGAGGGACTTGCATGGACTTGCCACCCTCAAGTTCCAGCATCGGCAGCCCTGCAAAATCTGGATCAGTTCGCCAGCGTCTGCGAGCGAAGCTGTGTGTGTGTGTCTGGTCCTGTCTCCAGTTGGATCAGTCATAACGTTACAGTATGCCGGAAGTATCACAGGGGTTCAATTACTACATTACACACTTGCTGTATCCGACAAGGTCGTCAAGTGCAACCCGAGACCCCGCACTATGAGCCCCATCACGAATCCTAAGCCATCTGAATCCGAACCCTAAACCTCAACTCCTAGCGCCAAACCCTGAACCCCAAACTCCGAATCCTCCTCCTCCAACCTTATGCCCAAAACTTCCTGCAACCCCCCAACCCCAAATCCTCGAGCCCTGCGGCAAGTTACGGACTTCTGAGCAGGCAGGTGCTGCTCGGCCGCCTCGGTGACTTAGAGGCACGGCATGCGGCGGAGCTCCGCGGCCTGGAGGAGGACTCCAATGAACCAAAGTCGCCTCCGAACACTTGGGGCCACTTTTTGGGGGCATATTTGTAGTATAGTGTCGTACGGTATCAACAGGAACTAGATGTAAGCATACATAACTTAGAGGCCTAGATAGCAAGTCGCTGCATACATCTGCTATACATAGACATATACATATGTTCATATAGGCATACACATGCATCTGTAGAGACGCCGCGCGCTTTGGTCCCCCAAGGGATTTTGCACAGGACTTTTGATACTGTACCAGAATATACGTAAAAAAGCCATAGTATACCTTCATATACCATAACATACCTGGATATACCATAGCTTTCCAAAATGTACCATAATACACCTTAATATACCACAATTCGTATACTTTAACATACCAATCGTCTGCCTTAATATACCATAGTATACCTTAAACTTACCTTAATATACCATAGTATACCTTAAATTTACCTTAAATTTACCTTAATATACCAATAGTCTACTCGAGTATGGATGGATGTCAGAAGCTCGAGGCCCAGGCTCCAGGGGGCTTCGGCATGGCGCCGTCCCAGAAAGCGGGACAATCTTTGGGTCAGGTGACTTTAATTATATTATGTTATATTATATTATGTTATATTATATTATGTTATATTTTATTATATTATAGTATAATATAATATATTATATTATATTATATTATATTATATTATGTTATATTATATTATGCTATAGACCCTGCAGACGTGAAGCTTCCGCCTACTATGAAGCCCACATACAGCCTTGGAACAGGTCTCTA